TAAAAAGGGCTGTTCCTGCAACGCATTGAGTATAATATGGGGTTATATAGGGATAATGGAAAAATGGAAACTGTTATAGTATCATGGGGTATAATATACTGTTATATAGGGATAATGGAAAAGAAAATGGAAACTATTATAGTATAATACCCAGAAAGCTCTTCGCAAGGCAAGGGCGCCGTAGGTCAGCGAGAAGCGGGCAATGCCGCCCACCAGTTTCAAAGCCTCAGATGAGCCATAGTCTAAACTCGGAGTATTCCCCTTAATAAGCTCTATAGTAGTCCCCTATAGAATCTCCGGTATATCCATCTTTAAGCAGTTTATAGACTGTAGCTCGAAGGTGAACCCTCTAAACTTCGCACGCAATTGTCACCACTGTCACCATCATGACCAACACCATTCTTGCTATCATTGTTCCTACCTTCGTTCGATCACAAGCTGCCCATGACAAATAACAGTAATCCCAAATTCTGCTGATGAGAAGAGTGACAGAGCATTGCGAAGCAAATATACTCCCACTTTCCATTCCATTTTCCATTTGATTCTCCATTATTGGGGGCATAATATCTGTAGACATGGAACCCCAGGGGTATGCTTCGCAGACAATTCCACCTGCCTTTCACGCTGGGCGTCCTGCCACGGGCAGGGGGATCTTGGTGACGAGCTGGAGTCCGAACCTGTAGTAGAGACCCTCAAGAGCTCAAGGGCTATATAGAAATAAAGAGGGACAGATAAGGATAATAGGAGGGTTTGTAGGGATATCTGGCAATATACTGGGGGCATAGTGGTATTTATTATGAACAAAGCTGGCTCGCAAGTACTCGGGCATTTTTCTATCAGCTTTGCTTATGTTGAACAGACCACTTGTCAACCTTAGATTTGAGAGTCGGACAAGAGGCGCGGGAGCCAAGACCTGCGAAAGCGTTGTTGGCTGCTGTGTTGCCGAGTGAGCCCCGAACCCTAAAACATAAAGCCCTGGACCCTAAAAGCTAAGCCCTAAACCCTGAACCCTCTTTTTGAGGCTTGGGCTCATGGTTCGTGTTGCCGGGCAGTGAAGGCCTCAACGCTTGCCCAACATTTACATGTCTGTTGCATGGGCCTAACCCCTAAGAACTCTATATAATCCCTATAAAACCCTCTAGCCCGTAGCATAACCTCAAGATAAACTGAGTAAAGTACCAGCCCGCCAGGAAGCCGGCCCACAGTTCCTTGGTTCTAGGTGACTTTGCTTGCAGCGCTGCTTAGCTACCAGCACCAGTACAAAAAACAGATGGGTAGTTCCCAAAATCATGGGCCCTTTTTGGTAATTTAGGGGTACCAAACGCCTAACTAGTAGTTTCCATTTTCTTCCCATTAAACCCCAAACCCCACGGGGCCCTAATTTTTGGAACTACCCACATTTCACCTTAAAACCTACATCCCAAATTTGGGGAACTACCCACATCTCAAAGGGTCCAAGGCGCCTCGGGCAAGTTAAAGAAGCCCTGGAACCATCCTCGCAGCCCGGCCACATCCAGCTCCATGAGAAACCTACAGTCCGGACCCTCAAGGAGCCCAATACCCCTTAAGTAAAAAATATGTCTTGAATGATGTTGGGGCCCTAGTACCATGTAGGGTATATTCCTTAGTTGAGGGGTATTGGGCTCTTTCGGGCTTGCGGTCAACTCACTTGCAGAATTCGTTCATCGAACGCAGGGTCTGAGCTGCGTGACTCCCCGCCGAAGACGGCAAAGTCGCGCTGACCCTGATTCTGCTGACCTTGTGCATGTCAACTAAACCCACCAGATACGTGGTACTTGCAACAATAATAGTAGTAATAATATTAATATTACTAGTAATACCACTATTCTCATTACTATTATTGCCACTATCCTTATTACTGTTATTGTTAACAAGCAGAGCAAAGCCGTTACTGGGCCCGAGCTCCAGATAGCTTCGTAGGCTGCTGCGGCCACTGCGTCAGGCCTAAGAGGCAGTGAAACACTAACGAACCCATATTGTATTGGTGGGTAGTAGGGAATGGAGGAGTATCATCCCAATGTCAGCCACAATATAAAGTCCTAGCATCCCCCTTCATGAGCCCTATGATGGTCCCCTGAAACCCCTTAAGGAGTATAGACGATGGCTCATATTATCCTTATTGAATATATTGAATATATTCCTTATGCCCCGCTCACCCCCGGTAAGACATGGTTGTCGTCAGGGGCTCTGTGACACGGGGCCACTGGGGCAGCTGCTGCGAGCCCCTGTTCAGTTCCGTGGCGATTGCTTCCGCGACATCCTACGCCCGGGTCACTTCGAGGGCTACTCTTGGGGTAGTTTCCAAAATATGGGGACCCCAATTTAGACCCCAATTTCTATAGTACTCATTGTAGGAACCCTATTTCCATTTAATTTTCCGTTTACTTTTTATTTTGATTCTCCTTCGTTAACTGAACTCCCAAAGGTCTGCAGAATGATGGCCTTTTGCACCATGTTCATAGTTCTGGGGCCCAGGTAGGCAAAATATGTCCCTTTATATTATAGTCCCTACATAACCCCTAAACACCTCCTCCGTGCTGACATGACTACCAGCACTCAACACCACCAAGCACAACGTCACTGCAGCTGAAACCCTAAACCTTGGGCACTGCCCCTACCCATTAACAGTCTATAATATGAGTCATATTAAGGGTTATATATACATACACAATAAATTTTATCCAGCTGTTAATGGGTGGGGGCAATACCCAACCAAAACCCACAACCCTAAAACCCTCAAACCCTACAACCCTAAAACCCGAAACTCCTACGCAGGCTCCTTGGAAGCAGACATCATCCTACAGAGCTGATAACCTGCACGGAGCCAGGCAGGACTCAGTCGAAAGGCTGTAAGAAGTGGTCCCAACAGTACTAATACCAGTCATAGTAATAATTGTAATAGTACCGATAATACTTATAACTTATAACAATTTTGATGACCATAGGACAGTTTTTGTAGTAATGGTAATAGTAATAGAAATGATATTAAGACTCAAGTAGTACTGGGCATTGAACCCATGGGCCGGACCAGGTGGGAGCTTCTTTTTTAAGGCTCTCTTTTCTCTCTGCAGCAGTTTCAGGAGGTCAGGAGTCTTAAAAGACTTTGCACAGCTTTCCAAAATTAGGGGTACCATCTTAAGGTCCTGAGAATAAGGATGACCATAGATTTGCGTCGATATTGAGGTTCCCCTAATTTGGGGAAGCTACCACTTGCACAGTTTTCTGCCCATCTCCGACACAGCTACAGGCCTCAGAAAGGTTCACGGAGGTGAGACAACTGTCAGGATTGAGCCAAGTTTGAGCTTTAGTCTTACTGACCCTCACAGTCCCAAATCACAAGTCAAGTCATTGTCAAAGCGCTCAAGTGTAGACGTGCCAGCGGATGATCCACTCCACCATGGTGCAGGGGAACATGATGATGTTGTAGGGGAAGTCCAAGGTGAACCCGTTCGTCAGCTGGTAATAAAAGCCCGCCTCTCAAAGCATCCCAGAGCATTCCCGCGGAACACACGGGTTTTATAGGGTCTAGGTTAGGTACATTGGGGGTTAGATTGGGATAATGGACAATGAAATGGAAACTACAATAGTATATTGGGGTTATATAGGGTTAAGGTTTAGCGCTGATCTTCTGCACATTCCAAAGACCACTACATTTGGATGATTCCCCTGAAGTTATCATCTTCGGCCCCAGATGCTGCCGCTAGCGGAAAGCCGACAATCTCGTCAATGTAGGACCTTCCACAATGGAAGGAGGCTTTTTGAAGGTTGAGGTGATACTCCTGTAGTAATAAAAATAAGAATGCAATAGAAATAACAATGACAAGACAAATAGAAACAGAACTAATAAGAATACTCATAATAATAATAGAAATAGAAATATCAATAGTAGGAATACTAATAGTAACAATAATAATAGTAATGGAAATATGAATAGTAATAGTAATACATTTTGCACCTCTTGAGCCTAAGGCTCTGGCTCTTCCGGGTTGAAATCCTTGGGGATGTTCATGCATTCGGGAAGGTATGGACCTGCAGCAGGGAAGCTGCTCCTCACCCGGATAGAGAATGCTTCCTGGGAGCTCTGTAGGGAGTAAGGGAATGAGGTATATGAGCTATAGTCTAAATTCCTAGTATCCTTTCTTAAGAGTCCTTAGAATACTCCCCTTTATATACCCCCTTTAAGAAGTTTGAAGCTATAGCTCACATAGGGATTGTAAAGGGATTATATTCCCTTATTCCCCTGTTAAAATCCAGTAAGAACGGCCGTCTCTGAGCTTGCAACTCACGTACGGCATCACTCCGTACATGAACCTAAATTCATCTTACTGGTGCTTTCGGGGGGAGTGGGGGAGTGAATATAGGTACCATTGGAGGGGTACATATGGGATTATATAGAGAGTATTATAGGGATCTACTACTACTCACCCTCCCTTAAGCACCAGTACGTCATGCAGCGAGCAAAACTTGCAGGAGTAACATGCTCATCCTAGCGTAGTCCTGCTTGCCATCCAAGAAGCGCTTCTCCAAACAATCGGCCGCCACGGATGCCAGAGTAGAATGCGCTGATGATGGCCTACAGTAGGCTCTCCGAGGCTGCAGGGAGGATTCAAATGAAACTGTAATTTCATAATATGATAATTTCGAAAACTTACGTAGGCAAAATGAACCCCAAAATACTATAGTCCTCATTATAGTGGCCCCCATGATATGTACCCCTAATCTTGGGAAACTCCAATATATACCCTTATATACAATTATTCTATATATACAGTAATATACTATAACATACCATAATATACCCTGCTATATTGCTATATACTGTAATATACTATAATGTACCACAATAACCCTAATTTTGGGGAAATCCCCGTCCATTTCGAGGCAGGCCTCCCACCCCACTCCAGCAAGAGCCATCAACCCCAAACCCTCCAGGACCAGTAACTTCCTGGGGTTTTAGTAGGGAATACAGGGATTTGTGTAGAGATTCCATGGGGATCATTATGTAGGGATTCTTTAGGGATCATATTCCCTTCTGCCCTACTAACCTACTAACCTCCAGTAAGTTGAATTAGTGTATCTTCTTGCCGTCCAGCATTTGCTTGCTGGTGCAGATCTTGCCTGGATGTAAGACGCAACCACCACAGCGATAACCTTCACGGTGGTTCCAATCATAGGTCCCACCCAGTGCTTCAAGTCCTCCCGCGGCCAGGGGAGCTGGGCGGATGTTGGCCAAAACCATATAGTCCCCCTTTAGTAGATAGATTATGGGGTATATGGGGATCTTACTGTAATATACCCAAAGCCATTTTCTATCTATCTAATTGGGACTAGAAGACTTGTGTCCTTGCCCAAGAGCATTGCAAGCCCAGGCCCGAAAAGTTGGACCATGGGTAACTCCAGCTGATCCGCAATGCCAAGCGCAATAGCCACGGTCTTGGCGAACCTGGGCTTTGTACAGTTCTTCCTAGGGATCCACATAGCCCAATGTAGGTAATATTTAAAGACTGTAGGCAACGTTGATATTATTTGTATGCTTGGATTTCTAGGGATCTGCTGACGAAGAGATATGGAAGTTTCACAACACAACCATGGCAATCGCACTTTTCTGGGGGACTGGCTGCGACTTCAAGGTAGCAATGACCTTGCTTGTTGCCCAAGAGCTTGGCGCTCCGCTGGTGTAGGGTTTAGGGTGTCTTGAGGCACAAACCGACACCCATGCTGTGAAGAGATATTGTGTCGCCTGAGCTGGGCAGCTGGGAAGAGACTGGGCAGGCTTGCTGTACAACAGCAGCCGACTTGTAACATGCAAGGGTAGCGGCTGCTAGCTAGCCTCACTGGCGGAGAGGGAAAAGTTCCCCGTACTATGTGGTCCCTCTTTTCCATTCCTTACTTCTACTAGCCCCTAGCAGCTTACCGGAAAGGTGCAGCCCAACACAAAGACATCACTGCAAAGATGCCAGCTGGCCTTCATCAAGCGATCAGGCTTCTCGACAGCCATCATTGCCATCTTAGCCTGGCAATGCCAAGCCATGCCCTTAACTTACTGGGGGTTAGTAGGGAATAAGGTAATATATCCCTACTAATCCCTAGTACGTTCCTTCTGGGGGTGAGTAGGGAATAAGGTATTATAACCCTACTTCCTTGGCTTCGGGATGATTTACCTCTGTGCGCTTGTACGCTTTGGCTTCAGGATGATTCATCCACGTCGCTTGTAGGGTGCCTTGTGGTTGATGAGCTCGTTGTAGCTCATCTGCTTCACATCCTCGATACCATCCTTGGCCAAGAGCTCTGCGTAATGTCTACCATGTATTGCAATGTGCATTCATTCCACAAGCATAAAGGACCGCAGCCTTGTTCTCATCTTTTTTGTCGTCAATCTCATTGGCCTCAGTGGAACCAGCCCTTGCTGCTGATGACATGATGCGGCAGGCACCAGGAGCCCAACCGCCTTGACAAGAAGTGCCTGATGCAGGGATGCTTCTGCCAGCACCGCATGAAAAAAAATGTCCACTTTGGGAGAATTAGCGCATGAGATCCCGTCTAAAGGACAGGTTGTGCTTCCTTCTCCTAACTTAATGCCCTTTAGGTGCACATTGCAAGCCGCTTTCCTTCTTCAACCTTCTGTGCCCACGATAAGATCAGCAGCAACAGAATGCCGCAGAATGCCACTGGTGATGCTAAGAGCCAGCAGAGAAGCAAGTGCGAAGCAAAGTGCGAAGCAAAGTGCGAGGCAAAGTGCGAAGCACAAAGGAAGATAAGCTCCCCATCCCGGCCTGCTCCCAGCACAGGGACAGCTCCTGCCATACAGTGGGCGCTAGACCCTGGAGTTCAGGCGTTTTGGATACTGCTTTTACACCCTTCCACTTGTCTTTCAGAGAGTCAAAATGGACACTACGTGAATTGCAAGATAATACGCGGAATCCTAAAGTAGGTAAAATGATAACACAACACCTGTCAAGATAGCCGCAAAGGCCAGGTAATCGTCCGCACAGGTAAGCAGGACGGCCGCACGTCAATCAGCAACTGGCCGCCGAAGTTGCGAAAGGCTTCAAAGGCTGCAATGGAGGCAAAGTACACACCTGCTTGAGGGTTTAGGGTTTGGATTTAGAGTTTAGGTTTTGGAGGGTTTATGGTTTGTAGGGTTAAGGGTTTACGATTTAGGGTTCAGAATGTTTCGGGGTCTATATTGGGGTCCCCCTGTTTAGGGAATCTACCATCTGTTGCATGACCAAGGAGGACCGTGCGGAAATCTCTTGTATTCCTGCACACAACATCTCTGAAAGGGTTTGGAGCAACATGGCCCTTTTGTTGTGTTTCCATCACTTCGGTGGTGGACTTTTCAGTTTCTGAATCGCGGATTCGAGTTTCTGAATCGGGGCTTGTTCACTTCAGTGGCATTTGCAACTCGTGACTCTGACAGTTGAACCAAGCCATCAGATTCATAATCTGGCCAATCCCGACAACCGCTACAGTATCAGGCGATATTTTCCCTATAAGCCCGCCGGTAGAAACCCAGGTTGCCATGTCATAGGATTTAGGGTTCAGGGTTTAGGGTGATTTTCCATGCCTTGGGGTCATATTCCTGCATAATCCCTCCCTAAACCCTATGTGAAGTATATTCCATTTCATGCTCCATGTTCTTTTCCATGTGATGGTCCATTGTGAACAATAAGGCCGTGCCTCCAAAGAAGCAAAGCCCAATGCCGAAGATCATCTCGATCAGATGGATCGGAAGGATCTTGTAGACCTGCACGCCCAAAGATTGCGTACTTCACTTCAAATTCTCCAGGCGGTGAACCACGAAAAGTGCTTCAATTTTGGGCAGAGGGGTTTCTGTTAGGCAGAGGAGGCTCCTTGCCTTGTACAGCTGCTGCGCAAGGAAGACGTAGATCATGATCTAAGCAACATCAGCGTTGTACAACTTGGATTCAGAGTCCCTTCTCAGCTCTGTGCAATGATGATCAGGGGTTTCATCAGATAGGTCCTGCGGACATGCGGACATGCATGTGGAATGCGCAACGACGGAGCATGGTGCAAGCCAGCTAATGCAGCTGTGGCACATGAAGCACTTCGCCCCCCTGACAGCCACAACAAGATACACTGAACACAATCTGCCGTCTCAGCATGTAGAGGCCCCCACATCCCCTGACGACAGTGTTACCCAATTCATCCCTCAAAGAACGATACGTACTGGTTCGTAGTAGGGAATAAGGGAAAATATTCCCTCAAGAAATCCTTATACAATATGTTCGTTCCCTTATTCCCTACTAAGAACCAGAAAGGATAGCTTGAATTCAGTACAGTCTGACTGCTGACCAAGCTGCTTCTTCCACCAGGTGTCGTCCTCCTCCTGGGTTGCTGTTGAGGAACTTTTTTCAGATCACCAGAATGGAAAAAAAAACATTCTTGATTACATACCCATAACATGGCAACTTAAACCCTGGTTTCTAAACCCTATGTACCCATGTTAGGATAACGTATTTTAAGTTCCTTAACCCTAAACGCTAAGCCCTATACACCCATATTGGGGGGGTAACTTGACGTAAGTTCCTTAACAGCAAGCCCGGTTTCGTCCAAGGCCATAGTGAACTTGGCCGATCGCATCCTTAGCGGCTTAGGATCTCCACCAAACTCCCATAGGATCATCTAGTCTGAACTCCTTAAAGGGTGTCATATACGGTTCAGGGTCTAAACACCTTCAGAGGGGTAATGATACTGTAGGGGACTTAAGAGGGATAATGATAATGTAGAGGACCATTATAGGGGTTCTGAAGGGGGGTTACTAGGAGTTTCAGGACGCCTCTGTTCACTGTTAAGGGACCCTTCATAAGGCTAATCTTGACAATAGCTTACCTAGGAATACCGAAATATGTATATATATATATATGTATATCTAATATTAATGTAGTTATACCCTATTATCTCTAGTAGTTTTCGTTTTATTTTCCATTATCCCGAAAAAACAGCATATTATACCCTATTATACTATAGTAGTTTCCATTGTATTTTCCATTGATTATCCCTACAAAACCCCTTTAAAAAAGCCGAGGAGCTCTTCCCAGGTAGCGCCGATGTCCTTTTGGAGCTGAGAAGCGAACTTCGTGGTGTCGTCCTTGATGCTGCTTGCGGCTTCCTTAGCCTTGTCCACATCCATCTTCATACCTGACACAACTTAAGTGGGGTTTAGGGATTGAGGGTTTAGGGATTTAGGGTTTAGGGATTGAGGGTTTAGGGATTTAGGGTTTAGGGGGTTAGCACTTGGAGCCAATTCGCGCGGGTTGTAAACGTGAACTGGGCAACTGAGAGCAATGCCCAACTCAGAATCATCCTTCAGGAGACCTTCCTTGGCCTCTGCCTGCCGACATCTTGACTGCTACAGGTAGACTTAAGACACCAAACTAAATGGGTAGTTCAAGGTAGTTCCCAAAATTAGGGTCCCTTTTTGATATCCCTAAGTATGAGGTGCCATAATTTAATATGTACCCAAAGGGGCCCAGAATTTGGAGAACAACTCAAGTACTACGGCAAACTGACAAACTCCGAGGCTAAGGTCAGCGCCGTGGTGGACATGGCGCTTGCCCCCACTGCCGGAAGCTTCCCGCGTTGCCAGCAAAGCGCTCGCAGCTGATGGCTAAACGCTGCAGCAGGCGGAGAAGTGTGTAGAAATGTAGTGGTAGTTTCCCCACATTGGGGGACGCTAACATAGACCCCAACATACCAAAATCCTTATTATAAGGACCCCCAAAATGGTACCCTCCATTTCAGGAAAACCCCATGTGGGTTGCCAAGATTCTGGAAACAAGTGCAGCAAGAAAGCATGGCACAAGATTTCAATGGCCTGTAGAGGGGTGAACCATGGCTGCCGCGGCCCCAAATGCCACGATGCGCTGCCCCGGCCTGCGCATTAGGAGCTATGCCCAGGATAGGAAGAACTTCAAACATTGAGGCTCATTGGGGCGTATTGAAGCTTATGGCAGCTTATTACAGATACTTTGAACATCTTTTACCCAGACCCCCTAAAGGATCCAAGAATGGAACCACCTGCCCTTCCAATATGAACACATTACTACATTGGAGAAAACTAGGGGATCCTTAGGGGGGGTCCATGTTTTTGGATCCTTTAACCCCAAACCCTAAACCCTAAATCCTAAACCTTAAACCCTAAATCCTAAACCCTAAACCCTAAATCCTAAACCCTAAATCCTAAACCCTAAATCCTAAATCCTAAACGGTTTGCATAGTGCCCGAGCGGCTCGGGGAGTGGTCCGCCCATGGGGATGTAGCAGAACTCCTGCAGTGGATGCAGGTTTCTGCCAGATGAGTAGTGTTTTTTTGGGTGGTTGAACCTAGTAAGATTATATTCCTAAAATACCATACCCAAAAAGGATGGTATAATCTTACTCTATATTGGGTACCCTAGTGTCCCCCCAAAAAACTACTCAGATGAGCTATGTATTCTAAACTCCTGTAAGGGGGGGTTATATAGGGGTTATATAGGTTGGATACTGCCCCCACGCAGTAACAGTTGAATAATAAGCAAACCATGGCTATATATAGCCCTTAATAGGGCCCCTAATATGGACTGTTACCGCGTGGGGGCAGTACCCAATATATACGAGAGTATTTTACGGGTTATTACGGGGGATACTGGGAGTTTAGACTATAGCTCGTGTAGATTCTGCCAAATGGCATCTCCGCAGACCCCGCCTCGTCGGTGATGGTCTCTTCCCTGTAGGAAATGCCTCGGTCCAGTTGAGCAAGTTCAAAGCACTAAACCCGGAAAAAAGCCTAAATCCCTGCACCTTAAAAACCCTAAACCCCTAAATCCCTAAACCCTAAAAAACCCTAAACCCGCCCTAAGCCCGCAAACCTTACACCCCAAATACCCTAAACCCCTAAACCCCTACACCCCAAAACCCCTAAATCCCTAAACCCCTTAAACCCAAAAACCCCTAAATCCCTAAACCGCTTAAACCTTCTTCTGAAGCCCCGGCCCGGCCTAGGTGCTTCAACCTTTGGAAGCATCTCTGCTTGCACTCCTCGAAGCTCACCGCAGGGCGGGCCACCTCCAAAAGGTCCACTAATATATAATCCCAATGGTTTTGGGGTTAGGATTTTAGGTGTTTAGGGTTTTCGAGTTTAGGGTTTAGGGTTTTAGGGTTTAGAGTTTAGAGATAAACATTATCCCAATATGACCCCAATCTACTATTGCAGTTTCCATTTTCTTTTCCATCATCCCAGTATAACCTCAATACAACCCCACCACTCAGCTTCGCGACTTTCAAACTCTGAGGCCCAGCCAAGGAGGTCTCCTCGAAGAACACCTGAACAGGATAATAGTAACAACAATAGTAATTACGATTGTAGCAATTACTTGTCATAATAGTGATACTAGTAATGGTGGTAGTAGTAGTCGCAGCAATAAAAGTAGTAGTAGTAGTAGTAGTAGGAGTGGGATGTCATCTGTTTGTTGCAACGGCAGGTGTCGCTGGGCACGGCACTCTTTGGGCATCCGGCTCGCCCTCAACCTGCAGCTTGCACCCAAAAGTATATTATTACTATAATCGTACATTAAGTATTAGTATATTATTGCTATATTCTTGTGATATAATATAACTAGTATATTAGTATGTTAAACTCTATTGTGTTATTGCTCTATTCTTCCTCTTGTATAGTATTCATCTTCTTCTCAGAGCCGCGCGGGGCCCAGGGGCATGACGTACATGAAGGTTGGTTCCTTCTCGGCACGGTCTTCCCACTCCTCAGATCTTGTCTGCTCTTTGCCGGGTTGCTGCTAAGGAGTTTAAATCTATCATAATAAGGAAGCCCTATGTTTACTACATACCCATATCATTATGATAGCTTAAAACCCTATACATCCCATACACCCATATTTCGGTAACTTCATTTAAGTGCCTTAGCAGCAAGCCTTTTTTTTGGCGAGAGGAGTCTCAGTTCAGCCAAGGAGCTGGGTCGAAGCTCAGATGGTCTGTGCCTCTGAGCTAATCATAGTCAACCCAGGTAATAGCAATTATGCAAACAAATAATATTGCTCAAAACAAGAAATTACACAAAACAAGCAAGAAGACCAATAATAGCAACAACAATACTAGCAACAGTAATGTGCTGAAAATATTAATTTGCATTTCAAGGAAGATGTCGGTGGAAAGCTACCTGAGCCCCTGGCGGTAATCAAACAAGGTCATTGCTTCAGGCGCGTAGTGGAAAGCCCCTTCCACAACCTGAAATCCCAGTTTCAGGCACTCCAGGCTTCAAGAGCTTGCCTTCTCATTATCACTATTGTTACTACTCTTAGTATTGCTACTCCTTATATCACTATCATTAGTATTACTACTATCTATATCACTCTTGTTAGTATTACTACTACTGATATTGCTACTATTTATATCACTACTATTTTCTAGCATGAGCTGCATTGTTACTACTACCTGTCTGAGCTCTTGGCAACTTCGCAGCCGTACGCGATCTGGAAGCCCGGGGCGGGTGCCGGCGGCTCTCCCTGGAGCATAGAGGTAATGGTAATACTTGGGCACTGCCCCCACCCAGTAACAGTCAATATTAGGGGTCCCATTAAGGGCTATATATAACAATAATATACTTACTATCCAATTGTAGTACATATAATACTAAGAAGAATAGTAAAATACTAGTAGTCACTATAATGGAAATAAGAATGCAGCAAGTAGTAGTAGTAACAGTAGCAGTGGCAGCAGCTATAGTTAGTCTGAAGAAGAGTAGGACGTCATCTGAACCAGGTAAACCCTAAACCCTGAACCCTAAACCCTTCAAACCCTAAATCCCAAACCTCAAACCCTAAGCCCTTAAACCCCAGACCTTGAAACCCTTAAACCCTAAAGTCTAAACCCGTAAACCCTAAACCCTTAAACCCAAAACCCTTAAGGAGGGCTCAGCTTCACATGCGAGGGGCAGGGGGCGAAAGCCGCCGAGTGAGGCGAGACTCGAAGCCCGTGGTGTCCACAATCAACCTCAAGTGTGTAGGGTTTAAGGTTTGGGGCTTGGGGTTTAGGAGTTAGGGTTTAGGGTTCAGGGTTTATCAACCTCAAGGGAATCCAGTTAGGGGGCGGCTTCCCTCAATGGGGGGACCCTGAGAAAAACCTGAAAACTCTGTAATCCCTTTTCATGCTTCAGCTTAACGAATTATCGCTATTATTACGACTATTACTATTATTGCTATTACTGCTAGCGTAACTAGATTTCTAATGTTACTATTATTCCTATGAGGCACTCGAGGGGTCTGTTCCCGGCTCCCTTTTGCAGGTGAAAGGCTTTGTTCGTACGGCATCACCGTTCGACAGGAGGACAACAGAGCCTCAGATGGCCAGTCCCCTCTCTCCATTTATAGTTTCATGTAGTAGATTGTAGTATATTATAGTATAGTATACTACAATATTATATATATTATACTCTAGCAGCTAGCAACAGCATGCAGCAAGACAGCTACAGCAGGCCAGGCTGTTTCCCCGAATCCGGGATCCCTTGTTTGTCCTTGCAATAGGAATGATCCCAACGAGTTTGGCGCATGTAAGGGACCCAAATTTGCAGAAACACGTGCCCTGAGCATGGAACCAGCTGCACTGTGGCGAATGGCAGGACTATCGTAGATGTTGTTGGCCACGACCTGCGCTCCATGTCGCTCACATTACGCTCTGAAGCCAAGTCTACAAATACTACCAAAAATGGAAAATTCGAATGGACAAGAACATTAAAAATATACGGAAACTGTGGTTTTTAAAGGGGCCATATAGCTACCATGGTGGGTATAGTATATAATTCAAGATGGCTCCCCCATGATAGTAACTTAACTTCAGCGCCTTAACAGCAACCCAGTCAAGGGTTGTAACAGATCTTGATGCTCAGGACGTAGACTCTAAACTAAACCCCAGTCTGATAAACTGGTCGGGTACGTGCCTGACACTCCACCTCTTCCTCGAGCACCCGCACCTTCGAGCCTCCAGCAAAAGCTTTTCAGTCTCTGTCCCAAAAGCGCCACAACAGCTCTGTCAAGTAGTCTTCTCTGAGCAAGGGCCCATCCAGATTCTTTGTAACATTCACAAGCGTCGCACGAATCCAAGACAGGAGTGTAATCTTCAGCTCTCACGGACACGCACATCAGGTTTGCAAGGAGGTCAGTTGTCATGAGGTGCGTAGCACGCAGCAACCCTGGTGCACTACACAGGCGATTGAGACTGTAAGCGACGCATGCAGCCAACTGCTCCAGTTCTGATGTCAGAAAATGATCTCTGTCACTCCAGGCGTCACCAACCCTAAACCCTATAGACCTCCTTAAGTAGATAGAATATGGCTGTGGGTATATAATAGTAAGATCTCCATATACCCCATATTCTATCTACTTAAGGGGGACTATAACCCTTTACCCCTTGACACCCAACAGTTCCAAGGCCAGGGCTACTTCGCAGTAACTTCTTCAGCTTGTCCCTGTCGACCCGGCCCTCGGCTCCGCATGTTATGCTAGATGCCTTGGAGGCCTTGTCAGAACTTCCCAAGTCGTGTAACACCCAAACATACCCACACCCCTGCAGACCTCTGGTCCTTCTGATAAGGTCCACCTCATACAGAAGCTCCTCCTAACTTCGAAAAGAATCCAAACGTCTACCTTCCTGGCTCCCGCCACCATATATTTTAATAGTTTCCATTTGATTTTCCATTATTACGATATGACCCCAATATACTATAGTAGTTTCCTTTCTATTTTCCATTATCCCAATATAACCCTATATCATACCCTATTAGACTATAGTAGTTTCCATTTTATTTTCCATTATCCCAATATAGCCCTATACCATACCCTATTCTACTATAGTAGTTTCCATTTTATGAACGCTCAAAAGACCTGAGGCCTGGACGTAGGGTCGGTCAAGGCGAAGACGGTTGTCGACCGGCAACTGCATGTTTTCATGATGTTTTGCCTACGGCTCCAATGTAATGAACTATGACCCCTATACCATGATATAGGGTTATATTGGGATAATGGACAATAAAATGGAAACTACTATAGTATATTGGGATCCCCATATAATCCCTAAAGATGAGCACGATGAGCCAAAAAAAGGGACATTGGCCCCCTTGGGTGAAAGTCTCAAAAGCTCTCATCCCTATATGAACAGAATATGAACATCATGAGCCAACAAATGAACATTGGAGCCCTTGGGTGGAATCTCAAAAGAGCAAAATTCAGCAGCTCTTTTGGCCTCCCAGCTACCACCAAAGTAGCAGTCGGTCACCTCCCACTTGTTGGCCAAGCCTCACAGAGGCTAGAGTCTTCCTTAAGTAGGTAGAGTATGGCTTTGGGTATGTTATAGTAAGATCACCCCATGTACCCTATTCTATCTACTTAAAGGGGACTATACCTCTACACCAACAGCATCCTGCCAAGAAACAAGAAGGCATCAGAAGCTTGGCAGACTTCCCCCAAAAAACACACACACACAACATGTGAGGAGTCTTCAAAACTGCTATGACAAAACGGGTGCCCTCCCAAAAAGAGGCCCCCGCGAAATTCTTGGAACAACCCTAAAGTAAACCTTAAACCCTCAACCCTAAACCCTGATGCCTAAACCCTAAACCCTGATCCCTAAACCCTAAACCCTAATTCCTGAATCCCTCAACCCACTGATCTGAGGCTTCGACAAGCCTGCAAATCAAGGCCCAACTTTTGGGCCAGGGCGTCCCACTCCGCCTGCAGCTTCTTTGAGGCTTCTCTGGGGATGGCAATATTCCAAAGCTTACTGGGGGTTAGTACCAAATAAGGGGGGTGTGGTTTTCTAGGGATTGTAGAATGAGTATATTCCCTTCTCTCCTACTCAGCCGCTTTGAGGTTTCTCTGAGGATGTTGCTGACATTCCACGCTGCATATACTGCTTGTGCTCTTGAAGTCCTCAGATTCTGAACACCCCTCATATATGTAGATATTGTGTTATATGTATATAGCTATAACTATGACTTTGTACCATCAACCACTGCTCGGAATGTTCTTACCGTAGTCTCTTAGGCTCCGTTCTTCCTCTCCTGGCTGCTTACTGGTGGCACCTGCCAGACTCCATAGTTGTTCGGCCACTTCTTGCTGGCAAGAGGGTCCACCAGGAAGACCTTCCTCAGGGGTTTAGGGTTTGGAGGACCTTCCTCAGACAAAGCTGCCATGAAACTGCCCAAGGTACTTACACAACAGCCTGAGGCCCAGGGCTTGTCATACTGCTCTGCCAGCAGGTAGGCAAGCAGTGTTCCAGCAGGACCAGCACCAATAATGGTCACATCTACCTGCAGCTGCATCTGACTGACCAGACTTGCAGCTTGCGGCCCAGGCCCTGCCTCCTCCTCTTCGAAGACCTCTGCGGCTACGGAGAAAGCCTCCTGTAGCCCCAAGCATGGTAGTTTCCCACAATAGGGGACCCCGATATAGACCACAAAGTGCTATAGCCCTCATTATAGGGACCTCTAGAATTATTCCGATAATTTTGGGAAACTCCCACATGTCTTTTCTGGCCATCCTGCACTTACCAAGCCTTCCGCGCTCGCAAAGGTAGGGAGGACTTCCTTCGAAGAGCTGTGGCTGTTGCTGCGGCTGCAGCCTGCCAGGATTGAGGGTTTAGGGTTATATAGGGTGATATAGGGGGTTGTAGGGACTATATAGGGTTATATAAAGGGTTGTATAGGGTTGTATAGGGATTATGAACACCCCAAACTCCCAGCCCAGACCCTTAAATTTCCCGGTTATTCGTAAGGAATAAAGGAATCTAATCCCTATATACTCTGTTCCCAAATTCCCTACTATAGCCGCGATACTTACTACCCTACTATGATGTAGTAGCTGGCATTTGCTGTTGAAGTAACCTTATACAACCCCAATAGACTCCCATATTCCCCACAAAGAACCAGTAAGCCAACAAAAGCAAGGCAAACCTTCGTTGTGACTCGTGCAACATGCGATCGGGCTGTGCCCACCGCCCAGATCTCTTTGTTGAGACTGGTCGGACATGGGCTCACGAGAAAGACCTACGAAAATGGTGAGAGTGCTACACTAGGCAGTGGGTGTTGTTTACACCCAGCTTCGGGTGTTCTCCATGGCACCTAAATATTTGAGCCACGACTGCGGGTTCCCGGTTGAGGGGATCCCAAGCTCGATTTTTTGAAAGCTGCACTCTTTCCAGCTCCCATCGGGCTTCAAGAGAGCAACTGTCACCAAGCTGCCTGCGGGAGGAGAGGACTCTGCATTCTTGCCATCGAAGTTCCGCCACTTCTCCAAGACTATGCAACTGCCGTCCCAGGATGGGAAAACACCGGAGAGGCTCATGAAAGCTTCAGGGGCGGCGGCCCCCGGGGAGAGCGAAAAGAAAAGCAGGCCAAGGCAAGCAGAAGCCCAAAGGCGGCCTGTGGGATCTCCCACGGCATGCCCGGGTGTGTTCACATTCACCCAACCCTGCATAGAGGGAAGCCCAAGAAGCCATGGTACTTCCTCCGGCATGGTTTTCTGAACTTCCTCCTCTGGTGGGAGGCCAGTCAAGCCAGGCACTTCCAGCTGAGGAATGGGCTCTTTCCGGACAACTCGCCAGATCTTGTAGAGCAGGTCACCAGGAATGTGGTCGCTGTTTGGCAGGGTGGAGCCCTGCAGCGTCTTCCAGGAGTCGAAGTCCATGTCATTCCGAAGCTCATGGAGGTGGTGGTGCAAGCATAGGACTGAAACCATCAGGTGCTGCAAGGCTTCCGCACTGCCGATGTCGGACTTGAGGTTCAACCCTCGGATCTCATCGATCTCTGAGACCACCTCACCGGAGCGAGCTCGGAATCTGGTATTTACTTATTGTTATTATTTACTATTGTTAGTATTCGTATTGTTATTATTACTAATATTATTGCTATTGTTATTGTTGTTTGTTTGTAGTTTGTTTCCTTGTCCCGGAGCCAATTACTAAGATCACAACTACGTCACCCTGGACTTATTGGGGTTTTCCCGGCCCAACTCTGGGAATCCCTAAGTTCATCATGAGGAACCCCCAAAAGGCAGACCCATAATCACAAAACATCGCTCCATTATCCCCAATATAATCCCAACATACTATAGTAGTTTCCATTTTCTTTTCCATTATCCCAATATAACCTACTATACTAGTTTCCATTTAGATTCTCCATGATCCCAATATAACCTGACCCTAACCCCACAATTTCACACAACAACATCTCAGAAGTTGGCGCTGTTGCCTCGGCTCCCGAAGCCGCTGTTTCCTCACTTGTGCTTAAGGGGGAGTCAATGTAGGAACTTTTATTCATTGAGGGTTTTGGGTTTAGGGCATGGGGTATTTCAGGGGTAGTTACATAGGGACGATTTTAGGTGTATATTTGGTGATTTGATAGGGTCTACTATAGGAGTATATATGGGGATTCTATAGCTACGATTATTTGATGCACGGTTTTTATTTGTTGTCTGGGCAACTGGTCACTGGAAAATTGGTGAGTGTGTTTTCGTTTTCCAATCAAAATCCCTGCCTCACGAATCCAATGTCCATCCTTTACATGTCTCTTATGACCGATAAAACTCCACATGTCTTATGAGGATCCACCCCCCCACCCAAAACTCCTAACCCCAAATCCCTAAACCGAGTTTCCTGCATGGCGCTTGCGTAGATCTGTGAGGCTCCGACCAGAGAGTTCAGCTCCTTTCTTGCCACGCATTAGAAGATAATTGAAAACCCTCGAAGCCCTGAGAGTAGTAATTGGGGGTTAGTCCGGAAACTACCGCGCGCTCAAAGCGCGCTTCCGTCTGTCACGCCCTAAATCCTAACCTCAAAACTCTAAACTATCCTAAGCCCTAAATCCTGAATTCCCACCCGGCCTGCTTAGGCCGTTCCCACCCATTGCTAAGGTGGTCAGACATTGAAAAAACACGTCAGCCTTTACACCCGTACTGGGTAAGACAATTGGAAGAGCCTATGGAGAATGGACGTATAGAGACCAGCCCTGCCTCCAGCCACCACAGCGGGCCAAATCTCTACAATGCACTTGATTTTGCCCTTGATGGGAGCACCGCAAACTCAAGGAGTAAAGCCTCACAACGATGCCCCTTTTCAGCCTCCTTCCAGAAAGTCCCAAAAGGGGGTCCTGGCCCGGGTGCGTGGAGTAACGGGAACCATTTTGGCCGTAACGAGAACCAGTTTTCCGGACTCGTAACGGGAACGAGCTGGGACCGTAACAGAAACCGCAGCCAAGACGTAACCAAGCAGCCGAAACCGAAAAACGAACCGAACCCCCGGAGCCCAAATCTCGCCTCCAGGACAATTTTTTTGCAGCTTGCTTGTACCTCGTTCTACTCGTATTCTGCTTGAGCTACCACTAATGCTACTTCTACACTCTTGGTTGCAACTTGCTCGTACCCTCACTCTAGCATTTTTTGTGCTCGTGCTGGTACTACTTCTACACTCCTTCTTAAATCCTGAACCTAAACCTTGAACCCCTGAACCCCAAAGCTTTGGATCTTCACCCTCCAAAGGTCAGGGCTTAGGGTTTAGGATGCTGGATCAAGGGCATTCATTCATTATAAGGATAACAAAGGTTGCTAGATGCTTTCTGGTGTCGAAAAGTACCCTTACTACTATTCCTGCGACTCCAAGGTATGATGGTAACTAGTACCTAAACCCTAGAAACCCTAAGCACTAAACTCCAAGCCAGAGATTTAAATCTTCACCCTCCAAGGGTCGGGGATGGTCAGGGTTTGGGGTCTAAGGGTCAAGGTTTATGTTTTTCGGTTCTGGATCAACGGGACTTCTTCATTATAGGGATAACAGCTAACAGAGGTTGCCAAAGGCTATAAGTACACTTACTAAGTCAGCTTGACCTTCCAAGTCAGGCAGAATTAATATGTTGGTCCCCGTGGTATAAAATTACCTTTTCTGAACCCTAAAACTTGGATCCGAAAACCATAAACCCTGAAGTTCACATGTCTGCCCTCGCTGCAAAATCAGAAATTGATACTTGATACTTGGGGCTGTGGTTTGGTTTAAGGTTGGTAGGAAGTCGGACATGCCCGACAAAATGCATCTAGAAGGGGGACCGAAAATCGGTCCCCTTTTAGCAGAATCCGAAGAAGAAAGTTTTAGCCAGTCTCAACACATGTCTGGGTTTTCCGAAGCCCCGACTGATTCCCGTTGGCCCTGTTAGGGAAACCGGCCGGTTCCTGTTACGAAATTGGGGCCAGTTCCTGTTACACTCCACTGTTACGGACAATCGGTTCCTGTTACTTCCAATCCTCGTCTTGGACCCTGCCTGCAGCAAATTCCTGGCGAAGGTTTTGGAAGTCTGGAAGCCCCTGGAGGCCCCGTTTGTGGCGGGCCCGTCATGATGTTTACTTGAAATCAGAAGCGAGAAGACGATCTTCTGGAGGTGGGAATCGAGGGCGTAACCCTAAAGCCTAACAGGAAGTAATTTGGGTGGTAGCCTGTGATGTCTCACAGCGGGTGGGGATTAAGAAAGCCCAGCTTCCATGGCTTCTGGTGCAACATCCACGAGTTCGCTGGGCGCAGGATGTGCCGCCACCCACAGATCCCTGGAAGTGGGGTGGCGCCATCGGCGCATGGATACTCAGCCCTGCGCAGGTAGAAGCCCTGAACCCCTAAACCCTCAATCCTAAACCCCCAAACTAAACCCTAAATTCAAACCCAAAAAACTCAACCCTAAATCGTAAACCTTAAGTCCCAAACCCTAAATCCTTCCTAAACCCTAAATCCTAAACCCTAAATCACCCTAAATCACCCCAAATCACCCTAAACCCTAAACCACCCTAAACCCTAAACCATCCTGAACCCTAAATCACCCTAAACCCTAAATCACCCTAAACCCTAAGTCACCCCAAATCACCCTAAATCACCCTAAATCACCCCAAATCACCCTAAACCCTAAGCAGTGGGTTTCCTCATGGCAGGTCCACCAGTTGATGGCGATGGCATAGACGATGCGGCTCATCTGCTGCAAGTCATCCGGCCTGGCTTTGGTCATGGGAACAACCACAGTAGGGTTTAGGGTGTTTTAGGGTTTAGTTCGGGTTTAGGGTTTAGGGCGTTTTAGGGTTTAGTTAGGGTGTAGGGTTTAGAGCGTTTTAGGGTTTAGTTTGGGTTTAGGGTTTAGAGTTTAGGGTTTTAGAGTAAAATTTACAGTAGATTCTATGGGCTCTCATAACCCAGAAGAGGAATTGGGGCCTTTAGGATAATCTACTGTAAATTCTACAGTGCTGTAAACATTTTTGTTGATTTGGGAAGCTTGACCAGTGACTCAGTGGAAACTACTAGGATCATTCCATAGCAGTACTCGATGCTAGTGATTACCAATGAGTATCATTCATTTTTCTTGGTATGATAATTTGAACCTCTCATTTCTGTATATATTAACATTATTGCAAATTATCATTGTTATGTTATAGGGTTAGTTGCCTAGGTTTCCCTCTGTCATCAGACCGTTCTACCAAGTTTTCCCGGGAATTGCGCAACGACATGTAATCCTTCTTACTGCATGCCTGATCATATGAGCTACAGTAAATGTCTCCTTCTTTTCTTCGTGGACATGGGTTCCTTATCTATGCCCACTGTTATGGATCCCTTGGTACGGCGAATAATGACGGTAGCTCATATTATATGAGATTTGGGGGATTAAGGAGACCTTTGTAAGGGTCCACATGACAAGGATTATAATAGTATTTTGGAGTCCTCCAGAGTAGGAGTTTCTACCATTTGCTTCATACCGCACTCCATGATGTCACAACCAGTCGGCAGATTAGGAGACCATGAATGGCTGCAGCTGAGCTTGCCAACCCAGATATAGTTGAAGGAGAGGGGCTTCAAAAGCCAGTTCCTAAGACCCACCTGCCAAACTGATTCAGTTGAAGTAGATGGAAGTTGATACATTCGGAAAAGCAGATGCCCGGCAAGTCTGGTGGCAAGACGTTGCCGGGCAAGGATCCGAACACCCATCCTAAACCCTAAACCCTAAACTCCAAACCCTAAACCCTCAACCCTGAACCCCAAACCCGGAACCCTACACCCTAAACCCTGAACCCTTATCTCAACAGAACTTTGAGGATCTGGCCAGGCAAATCCCCGGCGGGCTTCCATTAAGGCGGTAATGACGCCGGTGTTCCAAAACCTGGGCCGCTTTTAATAATGCGCTTTTTACTACGATTATTGGAAACCCAACTGGGTGGTTGTCAAAATTATGGTCCCTTTTTGGGTACCCTAAATATTGGGTGCTGTATTATAATAGGGACCCAAAAAGGGACCATAATTTTGACAGCCACCCAACTAGTTCTTGAAATGCTGTATACCCATAATACTGTAACTTAAACCCCAAACCCTATATGTATACCCATCATATGGTAACTTCAATGAGGTTCCTTAACAGCGGCCCAGCAACTCGCACCTGCTGAAGAAGGCCAAGCGCAGCGTCTCACCTCATGCTCAGGGACCATTAAATCTGTAAATATTAGCTACATTGGACTATTTGGGTTTAGGGTTTCAGGTTTTCCGGTTCAGGGTTTATTTGGATCCCTAGGGTAAAGCATATTGGGAACATAGGGAACCCTAAACCCTGAACCATGAACTTTAATCCCTGAACCCTGAACCGAAAACCTTAGGTCATGGAGAATGCCTGAGCGCCTGACACATGGCGAAGGTCTGGCCAAGGAAATGCCCCACAGCCTAAAGAGCCGGCTTGCAGGTTTTGGGCTTTGGGTTCAGGGGTTAGGGATTAGGGCAAGCTAGACCCCCGGAAAACTGTACCCTCTATAGAACCCAAGTATCCCCAAGTAGTACCTACATAGATACAGTCGCATTTAAAGGTAGTTGGGGGGTTCCTGCAAGGTTTCGAGTTTCGAACCCACTCAAAAGCCACAAAACCTTGGACTCCAAGGCCTTGCGGTTGATGCTGTCCTGGTACAGAAACTTGGAGGAGCTTCCTGGGTTGCTGTTAAGGAACTTAATTCAAGTTACTATATTGGGGAAACCCTATTATTTACTAAATATATATACCCATTATGGTTACTTAATTTAAGTTCCTTAACAGCAACCCAGCTTCTGGGGTAGTCATGGACCAGCCCTGCTGCTCGGATGAAGGCAATGCCATAGCCGGGCTGCACATTGAAGATGCGAGTACCAATGGACACAGCCTCCTTATGACCACGGAAGTTGGCAATGGGATGCTGGGGGGTGAAGAAGGGCGTTGGCAGTGGAGCTTCCGAATCCTCCGCCTCCGGCTTGTCCCAGTAGAAATTCCAGGTGGCGGCAGAAATCCCTGAGCCCGATAGGAGATATTCCTGGAAGGAGGCGAAAGCTGCGTGGGTCGCCCCGTCCAGGCACATGTCCGAGGGCAGCTCGCCGTGGCTGTTGCGCACCCAAATGGGGGCCCCGGCCTGACTCACGCCAGGATGAACACTGAACAGCCCTTTTGCTACAAACACAGCTCTCCGCGCACAGAGGTTTTAAAGATTGCAAATGGCTAATTCCTCGCCTTCAGCAGAAGCACGACGATGCTGCAGCGAGACATCCGCGCAGCCACGTGCAGCGGCGTCCACCCGGCAACATCTGCTCTGTCGAGCGGCTGACGGTATCTTAACAGCTCCAAGACCACACTGCTCGAGCCCGACCGACAGGCTACCTTCGCATTGCTTGGCCAAAGCTGCTTAACAATCCACAGCTACGGAGAATATCTGTACATGAGCCATAGTCTAAACTCCTAGTATCCCCTCACCCCTCGAACACGGCCTATATAACCCCTTTAAGGAGTTTGGACTATATCTGTATAATAATGACCTTTGCCTTCTGTCACACTTCTGTTCTGCGACCAAGACACGTGCAGGCCTGTGGTGCTGTTGGAATCGTGGCTGTTTGAAGACGCGCCGAAGCGCAGAACCCATCTCAGCGCCACCAGGTTTGAGGTGCCGCAGAAAACGAGGAAATGCCTGACAGCAACAGTTGTCAATGCAGATGATTCTTCTCATGTTCAATGAAATTCAATGAAAAAACGCTCTGTTGACTCTCTGCAAAGCGTCTCAAGCAACCCGGAACAGAAAAGGCAAGGGCACAGCACCGAAAAGTCTACTGAATCGAACCGCGGGGCCTGTCAAGCAATTTCAGGTTCTGCAACGTTTCAGGGAAAATAGCTCCAGCGGGACATTCCACTTCAATAACTTCCTCATCAAAAGCTCCGCAGTGCCCGTGGCTTGGTATCGCCTTCAGCTGCATGCTCAGCACTGCTCAGAGCCAACTTCAACTGAACCGACCCGAGGAAGCACAAGAACCACACTTAAAAGCTTCAACTTCCTGGTGAAATTTAAAGGAATATATTAAAAGTCGGGAGGAGATTCCCATCTTCCCACTTTCTAACAGCCCAGGAAGTTAGGTGCAGCTTGGCAGCAGTCACCAAGTCCAGATAGGCCTGGCCATCGCGGTCACAGGCGGGCGACAGACACCAGGGCTTCTCGGCGCAACTCCTCGCCGCTCCCATCAAGGCGCTCCCAGCTCATGGCTGCCGTGGCATATCCCACGCCCACGGAAGGAGGAAGGATGGGGTCTCTTTGGAAGTACTCTATTTGGGTTCTATCGGGATATTATCGGGATACAGTGGGGATTATGGGAGCCAGTGATGATTAGAGAGGGCTTGGGGTGTCATGGCGTGTGCGTGGTTGGGTTTTGGAGCATGTTTGCTCTGCTTGCGAGACATGTCATGAAGTGACTTCTTGTCTGAAGCCTGAGCCATTTTCCAAAGTCTGCCGCGTAAGCCCAGCGCGGCAGGCCGTGTTTCAACGGCAAATGATGCCACAGGTACAGCTGGAGTGCAGAAGTTCCCTAGCAAGTGAGCCGGAGGCGCCATGCCCAGCCCCCAAGCACTTGACCTGGGAGACGCCTGGAGAAAAGCACGGCCCAAAAGTTGGGGCTGGCTTGCAGTCTGTTGCATTCTCTGAAGCCTTCGAGGTCACCTTGCAGGCTCTGGATGGGAGACCTGAGGCACGTGTCTTCATTGGGTCAGCACATGCTGGGACGTTGGACTTGGGGGGGCGACTTGGAGTCACGTCGGATGCCACGCCAGCAACACCTACGTGCACTGCATAACTGACCTGCTCCTTCTTTCCAGGACCATGTCAGATGCACGTGCCTTGGACATGCCGCTGAACAAGTGACCCTGGAAGGGTGCCTTGCAGTTGTCGCTGAGCAAACAAACTGTGCCGAACCCAAGTCTTTGGAGCACCTCCTGGCGTGACCATGCCGTGCCACATCACCTTCACACACTCCAACACTATGGCATCTTGGCCAAGTTGTAAGACAGGCTGACGCACGTGATATCATGATCCGTAAGTTCCTGGCTGCCACTCTGGCAACGCAAGCTGCGCAGAGACACTTTCTCTATCGTTCTGCTCTGCTCATTGTTCAGTCCCTTACAAAGCTTAGGCCATCTCAGCTATGTTGATGCTGTTTGCTTCTTCGCCACTCACTCTCTTGGCTCATTGCTTGTGCTGGATATGACTGGACAGCAGCTAAATATGCCAGCCTATGACACAAGCTGATGCCGGGGTGCCGGACGGGCATAATGTCCAAACAACAGCTCAAAGATCAAAAGGTCAAGATCTTCATGAAGCCCCTTAGCTTCTTGGATCCTGATCTGGGCTGAAGTGCAGAAATGCCGAGGAAGCACTCGTCACACCTCAGTAACTGCTACGAGTACTATTACCATCACTATAAATATTACTCTTACAGTGAATATATGAACTATTAGTACTAGCATTATTGCTATTATCACTACTAACAACTAAAAGAACTGACGAGGTGTCGTGATCCTTCCCAGGCCCTACACCGCGGCTGCGCAAACACCGGAGAACCTTGCCGAGGTCATCCATGGCCTGCACCTAAATCCAAGCCACTGATGCTTAAGGGGGAGTGAATACAGGTACCAGTGTTGGGGTATATTATGGGGACTCTGTAGGGATAGGGAGGTGGAGTGGGGTAGTGAATATAGGTACCACTATTGGGGTATATTATGCGGAGTATATAGGGATGAGTATAGGCGTCCACTAGCCACTCTCCCTTAAGCACGAGCAAGCTAAACGTCGAGCGGACATGGAATGAAGCAGCAAGCCGGTTGTCATGGCTGAGACAGCAGCTGCTGCAGTGCTAGGGTTCGATGGGCCTCAGAAGCAGGTCGTTTTTTGGTATAGCAAGGCATCAGGATTATTTATCCCATGGTCAAAGACGGGAACTGAATAGAGGCCTTAGAGATGTGGATTCTTGAGGCTACACTGCCAAGTTCTGACACGAACATGAGCAGAAGATTTGAAGCCCTCAAGCTCTATGAACCCCCTAATCCCCCGAACCCGAAACCCTCCCTGTGCCTTTGGCGAGGCCCAAGGGTTCCAAGGTGGACAGCACAGCCCATCGATCTGCAGTTACGCTCAACAGTTGCAATATCTGAGCTGTAGTCTAAACTCCTTTAAGGGAGGTTATATAGGAGATGATATAGGGGATTGCTATAGGGGTTATTAAAGGGGATACTAGTTGAGAGTATGGCTCATCTGGAGTTTAGGGGGTTCGGGTTAAGGATGAAAAGAGTTAGGTTGTAAATCTGGAGGCTCAGGGTAGTGTGTGAAAAGAGAGTTTCAAGCTGAACGCTACTTGGAAAAGAGGCCAACTATTGCTGACCCAGAAATATGTGCAAATCACACACTGATCACCAGGAACATTTGCTACCCTATCAGTAAGATTACAATCAGAACCCCTCCCCCCCTCCCCCCGCCCGCAAAAAAAACGTAGGCGGACACCACACCCTGTAATAGCGACTATAAGGGATGATAAGGAACCCTGCTATATTCCTGTGATACCACTATTAAAGGGGGGGGGGCTCCTCCTGAAGTACATGTCTTAAAGCCTGACATTGTTTCTTGACAGAACTTGCGGCCCACACAGTCCACACACTGTCTCATGATGTAGAGTATCAGATCCTGGGGCTTGCGACTCCCCAATAAAACAGACGATTCTGCTATCATACTATTCTGAGCATTTTGGCCAAGCGCGTCAGGGTGGATTCCCAGTGGCAGCACGAAATTCGTCACGAAACTAAGCATTTGTCGAACCCCCATGTCAAAGAGCTTCGTGACATCTCCAAAAAAACAGGTCGCGCTTGCATGAGACTTCGGCAAGGCTTGACAAGGCCTCCAAAAAGACAGACTATTAGACTATTCTAGTAGTAGACCTCTATATACTATTAGACTAGTATACTATTATGCTATTGTACTATTAGACCTTTATACTATCAGACTAGTATACTATTAAACGATTATACTATGAAACTATTATACTAGCATACTAATTAAACAATTAACCTAATTAAACTGTTATAACATTATGTGCGCATTTTTGACATGGCCTCCAGCTTCCAGGGCGCGCAGAAGTCGAAGACCCCGCGGCGACGACTGGAGGACCTGGGCGTTCACATCGGATTAATACCTAGACCTGGTCCCTGAAGTCTGCAACTATTACCGACATTGTGCTTATTTGGATCCCTATACATCCCTATAAACCCCCTAGTTTCCGTTTCATTTTCCATTTGCTTTCCATTTGATTCTCCATTATTAGGGCATTAATTACCTACATTGGGCCCTAAATAGCAGATCCATTTTCTTTTCCATTGTCCCTATAACATCTATATAACCCCTATTGAATGATACCTACATTGGCCCCGAAACTTCGACTCTTGGGGTCTGAGAGCTGCGCGTCTCGAAGCAAGCCGCACTGCTTCTGCAGCATTTCCAACTCCCGACTGCACTCCTGCCCGTGTACCGTCAGAGTTGAACAGCTGTACGAGCAGAGTAGCAGCAGAGTAGCCTTGGGGATCTGAATAGCCCAATGTGGGTAAATTTTACAGACTTGTATACTTGAATCCCTAGGGCTGGTACCACAATATAGACATGGATCCCTAGAGTAGCAGCAGAGTAGCAGCCTTGTGGTGCCAGCTGGAGATGGCCATTCGGGCGATCGGCGACAGGTCAAGGTCACCCTCCTGCAGATACTTCATGTGGCTTCGCGGGTTTTGTTGTCGCCTCTCTTGCCCTGACAGCCTGCATTGAGCCTTTGCGTGGCCCTTCATGCTGTCGCTGCTTCGCCTTAGAATTCCGGAGCTGACCAGTGCATGTTCTCAGCTTGGCCCGTGCCTGCTAAGTTCGCCGCCCAAGCTTGAAGAAAAGCCGTTGGATTCTCTGGCTGGCTTGCGATGCAGTCGACAGCCTTCGGCTCTTGCAAGCACGCGGCTCATAGCAAAAGTGCATCACGCAAAGCGTGCCCAAGAGCTTGGCTAATGCACTGAGGACTGGTTCCAAATGATCTGAGAAATACCTCAAGTGCATGCAGGACCCAAATTGCAAAAGAGGGGCACTGGGCATCAGGGGTCTTGTTCAGAGGTCCAAGGCACTCATCCACAGGCACAGTCTCTGGCTTGTGCTTCAAGCAATTATCAACCTTGGCTCAGAACCGCTACGACAAAAGACATCAAGCACCATGTGCTTTGCATCCAGGCAGCAACATCTATGAGCGCATCTCTGAATGATCTGTCAAAGTCAACCTAAGTGGAAATCGTTTCTCCGGCATTGAACTTCTCTCCTTCCCCCCAGCTCCAGGGCGGCGAGCGCCGCCGCTGCCAGCGTCCTGACGGGGCTTATGAAGTTTACTTACTGCTGCCTAATAGGGACCCTATATGATGTATTCCCTTATTCTCTACTGACCCTTAGCGAGTTCACAGTTCACAGTGCACCCCTCCAGCCTGGCCCGACATCGTCTCCCATGGTGGCTTGTTACAGAGGCCCCATCCGGACGTCTGAGCTTGGATTTGCGCCACGTCGCAATGACACGTTCAGCAGCGCATATTGAGCGGTAGTCTGAACTCCTAGTATCCCCCTTAACATCCCCTATAGTAGTCCCCTATATGCTGTAACCCACTTTCAGGAGTTGAGACGATAGCTCATATGTACTGCAATGTGTGTTGCTCACTCTGGTACGAGATCGCTCCCCAGTGCAGCAAACCTTTGTCGGCTTAACGCCGAAGAGCCAGCAAATCAATCCCCATGACGCAAAGCTTAGCTAGGAATGACGGACTGGATCCTTATAGTATTCCCTATGTAACTCCATTATAGTAGTTTCCATTTTCTTTTCCCTTCCTCCAAAACCCTAAACCCGACATCCTATATAACCCCATTGTAGTAGTTTCCATTTTTTCCTTTCATTCTTTCATTCCCAGCTAACCAAAGGTAAAATGAACACCATGGAGATAACGTTCCAGAGTTCCATCTGCTGTACATAGGGTATGATATAGGGTTTAGGGATTCGGTTCGGGGCTAAACTCCTTAAAGGGGGTATTTTAGGGGGCCATTCCCAGATGCCACCCCTAGAAAAGTCAGCACGTCAGAAAGCAGAAGCTGAGTTCTGCAGTTCCGCTGCGCAGATGATGGGCATACCTTTGGATGA